TCACATATGTAGGTCGAGCCAAAGAGAACCAACATCTTCTGAGCATGTCTCCTCATGTTTGGAAAGTTCTCCTCCTTGAGAGAAGAGTAGAAATCCAGCAGAGATCCTGACTTAAAGTGCTCTGCCAGTACTGCATCAGACTGCAGGTCGATGAGTTCCAGCTGAACATCACTGGGTGCATTATCCACACTGCAGGTAAAGGGAGAGGAAATCAGGTGCATTTCATCCTCGATTTTTCTGAGATCTTCAAATCGCCTTGAAAACTCACCATGCAATGCTCCCAACATGGATGAGTACCTGCGGAGGTGATCAGCTGATGGTGTGACTTCTTTCAGGGTTTGCATGTGAGTGAGATTGTTGCTCTCCAGTTGGCTTGAAAGAAACTGCATCTTTGTCATGAAAGCCTTCACCAGGCTGTGCATTTCATGAACAAAAAGGCCCTTGCCTTGCAGTTTGGTATTCAGTTCATTCATCAGTGCAGTCACATCAACAGCAAATGCAAAATCTGCCATCCAGTCCTCATCTGAGAGCTCTGGGAAGTCTTTGCCTTTCTTCTCACAAAACTCTCGAATCTCTGCTTTCAGGTCCCAAACTCTTTTTAGCACTTTGCCCAGGCTGAGCCATCTGATAGCTGTGTGGTAGCCGATGTCACGATGCTCAGTCTCATGCTCCTCCAAAAGTGCGATAAACTGTCTGTGGTTCAAAGCTCTTGCCCTGATGAAGTTTACTATTTTAGTAACAACATCAATAACATGGTTAATTTTTAGCACTGACTTGCACAACACATGTTGGTGTATAATACAATGCAAAAATACCAGTTTCTGATCCGCGTCGATTTCAGTCACTTTATCTTGCATACGTTTCAAAAGTCCGACATTTTTTCCGGTAAGATTTGGACAACCGTCCGTTGTGACACCTGCCAGTCTGTCCCATTTCAGTCCCAGCGTGTCCATGCACTCGTTTACCTCCGTGAACAGATCGCTCCCTGTCGTCGTCCCTTTCATCGACCGCATTGCTGCCAGCTCCTCCGTAATCTTGAAGTCCGGTGTTATCCCGCGGACGAATACGAGTAACTGGGCTGTGTCGCGGACATCACAGCTCTCGTCCAAAGCCAAGGAGAAAAAGTCGTAACTTGCCACTTCACGTTGCAGCTGAAGCTCCAGATTCCCCGCAATGTCCTCGATCCTTCTAGTCACGGTTCGCCTGGACAGCGGGACTTGCTCAAATGCGGCTTTTTTTTCAGGGCATATTAGTGCTGCAGAGTCCACCAAGCACTCTTTGACAAACTCCCCCTCCGAGAACGGCTTACTGTTTTTAGCAATTTTGTGGGATATCACAAAGCTGGTCATGGTTGCTGCATCACTGGATGTGTGAAGCTTGGTAAAAAAGCCTTGCTGCTTTTGCAGCTTAGCTAGCAAAGCTTCCGATGTCCGCGCCCTTTCAGCGTCAGTCAAGTTTTTATATTTCTCCACGTGTTTCGTCTCGTAATGTCGACTCACATTGTACTCCTTAAACACGGCGATCTGCTCCCCGCAAACTAAACACACGGTTTTACCTCCGACTTCAGTAAATAAATACTTAGCAGTCCAATTTTTGTTGAAAACCCTGCATTCAGCATCTACCTTTCTTTTTTTAGCGGACATTTTTTTGAGGGCTAAAGTCGTCTTGTGACAAGGATCCAATAATGTGCACGTCTTGATATACGTATTGCGTCATTATGCACGTGAATAAAAAACAACTTCAAAATAAAAGCAATGCAGCTTTAGTCCATGCATGAGGTAAAGTTAGAAAATATGTTTATTTTGTAATTTCCAATTAGCCTTACACGGGCCGGTCAGAGTCAACCAAAGGGCCGTATGTGGCCCGGGGGCCGTACAATGCCCAGGTCTGACTTAGATGAAACGCATCACATAATATTGCTCAAGCACATAATGTGTTACAGTAGATCTTTGCCTCTGTTATACACATGAACATATGTCTTGAACTTTCAAAAGCAGAAATACAATTGTGAGTGTCTGTGTGTGTGGTGTGTCTCTCTGTGTGTGTTTGTGGTGTCTCTGTGTGTGGTGTGTTTGTGGTGTCTCTCTCTGTGTGTGTGTGTGTGTGTGTGTGTGTGTGTGTGTGTGTGTGTGTGTGTGTGTGTGTGTGTGTGTGTGTGTGTGTGTGTGTGTGTGTGTGTGTGTGTGTGTGTGTACCGAGATGGAAATGAACTGGACGTTATCTCTGTCACAGTATTTTGTCCTTGGGATTACTCTTGTAATCTGTTTTTCAGAACCTGCACCTTGGTTGACAGTCTGTTGCCATCCAACCCCATCAATACTTTTTGAATGAATTCAAATGTATGTTTCAGGTCCTTGGGGTAGCTCAGATTGAGGCTGTAAATCAGTCCAAGCAGTACTGCCCATCCATTTGCCAAGTATTTCAGCTCTCGCAGCACTCCAACACCCTCGATGATGACGCCAACATCCGCAAGTGGTTCCCCGGGTTCTGCTCCTTCGTGTTTCACGAGATAGAGTCCCAATACCATTGGCTCCATTTGGGTTGTTGCAAGTTCAACATCCTAAAGTGGGATTAGAACATAGTATTCATGATTATCAGTATGAGAACTAGCCCTGACACACATCATTTTATAATATGAAACAAATGAGCAAATCCTTTTATTGGATCCATTGTAAATAAATACATGTAGTTGTAAATGTACATGAACAATATAACCAAAGTAGCAGCAAATACTTTGAATAAAAAACAAATTCAATTATTTTTATTTAAAGAGGACATATTATGCAAATGTTCAGGTTCAAATTAGTATGGAGTGTCTCTACTTTAAAGAGTCCTCTCCTGCTGATGTTCAGGTGTATATCAGTATGTAGTGTCTCTACTTTAAAGAGTCCTCTCCTGCTGATGTTCAGGTGTATATCAGTATGTAGTGTCTCTACTTTAAAGAGTCCTCTCCTGCTGATGTTCAGGTGTATATCAGTATGTAGTGTCTCTACTTTAAAGAGTCCTCTCCTGCTGATGTTCAGGTGTATATCAGTATGTAGTGTCTCTACTTTAAAGAGTCCTCTCCTGCTGATGTTCAGGTGTATATCAGTATGTAGTGTCTCTACTTTAAAGAGTCCTCTCCTGCTGATGTTCAGGTGTATATCAGTATGTAGTGTCCTCTACTTTAAAGAGTCCTCTCCTGCTGATGTTCAGGTGTATATCAGTATGTAGTGTCTCTACTTTAAAGAGTCCTCTCCTGTTGATGTTCAGGTGTATATCAGTATGTAGTGTCTCTACTTTAAAGAGTCCTCTCCTGCTGATGTCCAGGTGTATATCAGTATGTAGTGTCTCTACTTTAAAGAGTCCTCTCCTGCTGATGTTCAGGTGTATATCAGTATGTAGTGTCTCTACTTTAAAGAGTCCTCTCCTGTTGATGTTCAGGGTGTATATCAGTATGTAGTGTCTCTACTTTAAAGAGTCCTCTCCTGCTGATGTTCAGGTGTATATCAGTATGTAGTGGTCTCTACTTTAAAGAGTCCTCTCCTGCTGATGTTCAGGGTGTATATCAGTATGTAGTGTCTCTACTTTAAAGAGTCCTCTCCTGTTGATGTTCAGGTGTATATCAGTATGTAGTGTCTCTACTTTAAAGAGTCCTCTCCTGCTGATGTTCAGGTGTATATCAGTATGGAGTGTCTCTACTTTAAAGAGTCCTCTCCTGCTGATGTCCAGGTGTATATCAGTATGTAGTGTCTCTACTTTAAAGAGTCCTCTCCTGCTGATGTCCAGGTGTATATCAGTATGTAGTGTCTCTACTTTAAAGAGTCCTCTCCTGCTGATGTTCAGGTGTATATCAGTATGGAGTGTCTCTACTTTAAAGAGTCCTCTCCTGCTGATGTCCAGGTGTATATCAGTATGGAGTGTCTCTACTTTAAAGAGTCCTCTCCTGCTGATGTTCAGGTGTATATCAGTATGTAGTGTCTCTACTTTAAAGAGTCCTCTCCTGCTGATGTTCAGGTGTATATCAGTATGTAGTGTCTCTACTTTAAAGAGTCCTCCTCCTGCTGATGTCCAGGTGTATATCAGTATGGAGTGTCTCTACTTTAAAGAGTCCTCTCCTGCTGATGTTCAGGTGTATTCAGTATGTAGTGTCTCTACTTTAAAGAGTCCTCTCCTGCTGACGTTCAGGTGTATATCAGTATGTAGTGTCTCTACTTTAAAGAGTCCTCTCCTGCTGATGTTCAGGTGTATATCAGTATGTAGTGTCTCTACTTTAAAGAGTCCTCTCCTGCTGATGTTCAGGTGTATATCAGTATGTAGTGTCTCTACTTTAAAGAGTCCTCTCCTGCTGATGTTCAGGTGTATATCAGTATGTAGTGTCTCTACTTTAAAGAGTCCTCTCCTGCTGAGTTCAGGTGTATATCAGTATGTAGTGTCTCTACTTTAAAGAGTCCTCTCCTGCTGATGTTCAGGTGTATATCAGTATGTAGTGTCTCTACTTTAAAGAGTCCTCTCCTGCTGATGTTCAGGTGTATATCAGTATGTAGTGTCTCTACTTTAAAGAGTCCTCTCCTGCTGATGTTCAGGTGTATATCAGTATGTAGTGTCTCTACTTTAAAGAGTCCTCTCCTGCTGATGTTCAGGTGTGTATATATATATATATCTGTGTTTGGCTATGTTTCAACTTACCAAATATTCCTTTATGAAGCTCTCGGAACTTTCATTCAAGTAGACGCAGAGCGCTTTAAGGACACAGTCCCGTCGTGTTTCAACTGTGGGATCCTGAGGGACAAACACATTTTCAAAATCTTCACACAAGAATACTGATTATGCTTGTGTGCTGATTTTTGGCAAAGGGGGTCAGAGAGGTTAAAATATATTTATATGAGAGGGACAACAAGAGAGAGATAAAGAGAATATGGTGTTGCAGTGCCCAAACTACACAATTTATTACAACTACATACCTTGTCAATGGCTGCCATGATCAGGCCCAAATTGCGTCCTGCTGTTCCCCCCTTTTTGAAAACCTTCATCAACTGAGACGAATGGCGATCCAGTTGAGACATGAAGGTAGGCAGCAGCGGAACGGTGGTGATGCGGGTGAATTCTGCGTTTACCTGCAACACATTGTGATACAGGTTAAAATGTTTTGTTTAAAGCTAATAATATCCATCAAGTGTCATAGCAGAAAGGACAGGACATCTACTGGTGTAAACCAAACAAAGAATTTCAGCTGAGGTTCTTTTCTTATACATGTGCATCTATTAAAATAGCTCTGCACTTAATACAGGTAAAGATTCAACATGACATCTACTTAAATGTGTTTTAAGAGCATTCCATGTTTTGAAAGAGCATGGGCATTCATAGTATGTGCATGGATATGGGTGTCTCTGACCAAAATGGCCGTGTTTTAATTTATAGTGCTTCAGTAATTGGTACCTTGTAGATTGAGTCTCAGTCCACTGTTTGCATCTCCACATTCAAAACCTAGAGAAAAAGAGAAATGTGTTAATGATCCAAATGTATTGTAAATAACAACTATTATTGCAGCCATTAACATAATTCAGGGTGTGAGGTGCAGGATATAGCAACCCATTACTGGATCTTAAGCAGTGGTGGAAAAAGTACTCAGATCCTGTACTAAAGTAAAAGTATAAATACTCCATTACTTGCTATAGTCCCAAGTTCAAAATAATACTTAAGGTAAAGTTCCAAAGTGTTATTAGCCAAATATAATAAAGTATCAAAAGAAAAAGTACTTTGTGCAGAAAGCCTTTTGTAAAAGGGTTGCATCATAGAATAAAAATGAATGTTCTTATAATAAAAAATCTACATATATACAAGATTTTTTAATGTTGTGATTTGTTAATATAGAGCATATTTTGGAAAGAACTGAGTAAATTAGTAGTACATGTATATGAATATAAACATTATCTAAAAAGGTAACTACAAGTGTCAAATAAATGTAGTGTTGTAAAAGTACAATATTTCCCACTGAAATGTAATTGAGTAGAATTACAGAGTAGCAGAACATGGAAATACTTTTCCACGATAAATTACTGTTTAAACACAAGCAGTTGCCACGGCAGGTAAGTGGCAACTGCCACACACATTCGCTTGGCTCGGCACCCAGAGTAACACCCCTTCAGCAGCCGCAGTTGTCTCAGCAAATAGTGGCATCTGCGGCTGAAGTACCTGCCACTATTTAATCTTGCTCTCTCTCTCTGATTATTATAAAGAAACACGTTTTCGGGTGAATTACGTGTCTATTTAAGAGCTGTCTTAATGGAAGATGTGCTTGTTGAGTGTGTTCCTGTACATGCTTTAAATAATTCACACTTTGATATTCCTGGCCGACATAATTAACGTAACGACCAGGCACGGCTCCGGCTGACGCAACAGTACAGTGCACAGATGGGATTTTTATTTCTTCCAAATAAGCTTTACAATTGAACAAAAAAACCTCCCTCAGGGCGTTATACTTGATGAAGTTATTTTTAATAGACTTAGAAGACCTTAACCGACTATGACCTTTTTGGCACTGGAGATGTTTGCAACCAGGCTCTCAAATCTTTAAATCAAGCCCATTTAAAAAAAAAAAAATTAAAAAAAGGAGGGAAAAAACGTGTCCACTTACTTTTGGTAAGAGCTAACATTACTATTATAACCACATCAAGCTAAAATCATTAAATACATAACGATTGAGACTTATACAGACAAAGCTTGAAATGTCACCTCTTTTGTGACATATTCTAACACTTTTAAGTGCAAGGGAACATAATTAAAAAGTGACCGTTAAGCTAGCTGTTAGCTAGCTGTTAGCTAGGCTGCACCGCTTTTCAAATCTATCATCAAAGTATACAGTTGGTAGCAGGGAAATCAAAAATACACATCAACTTTTGTATTTCAGGGACCGTTTGTGTTTAATATATGTTAATATTTAAGAAACTTACCATAACATCGCAGGATGGCACAGGAAAGGGAAAAAATGCGGTTCTGTCATCTCACAGTCACAGGATTCAAATGACACATGTCCCCGGTCTTACAGCGCATGTGCTGAGAAAGTACGGCAAGCACTTTGGGACAATCAGTGCGTTTTAAATAACTTTACCATTTAAATACAACACAACATGGTAATGTAATCCCAAAACTTTGAACTTTTACATAAATGCAATTAAAGTCTCTTGATTTAATTGTAAAAAGTGCATTTACTTAGTAGTTTCAATATAAAAAAAGCAATTAATGCAAACAACATCCATATTTCATTTCTAAGAGTGTATGTTGTACTTTGGATTCCTAAAGCTTTTAGTCTACTAACCCATCATCCAAGGGTAGTTTTCACTATCTGTAAAAAATAATCTTTGGACGGACACTATAATTTACAGTTTTTTACTATGTAAAATCTGAATTTTCTTTAAAATAAAAAACATTTATATTGATTCTGACACTTCTACATCCAACTCATAGGTTTATCATTACTTTGAGAACAAAGATTATTAATTTAACCCTTTTAGAAGGGAAGATATGGTCATTTGTTTTGGGAATGTCATTTTCGAGCCTGAGACCTAAAAAACAGGCTCAGAGTGGAACAGGTTAAAAAATTACGCACTGTACTATTTATCCTTTTCATTCTGTAGTTTATTGTAACATTTATGCATGGACAAACACACACACACGGATGTTTTCTGGTGTGTGTTTGTGTGTGTGTGTGTGTGTGCGCGCGCAATTGATGGGACAAATGATATCTCCAGGTAACGCCAAGTCTAAAAGTCGGGGGGACAAAGCACCGTAATATAACGTTGCATTTATTATTCTATTTATTTATTCTTGGATGTATTCATTTCATTATGTCATTATTGAAACATGTATTTATTGATTGTTGATCTTCCCGTTTTTCTTGGTAATAACAATATCATATGCCATCACTTTTTCAGGACTGGGAGTTGCAGAGGAGGAGGAGGAGGATGAGGAGGAGGAGGAGGAGGAGGGAGGCCTCAAGAGGAAGATTGCAAAACTTCAAGCAATCATTGTAGGCTGCAAGGAGGAAAATTATCTTTTGAAAAAATCCAATAGGAACCTTTTTCGAAAATACAAAAACCTGGAGCAAAGGTTCAACAGGACCAAGCTTCCAGGCAAGAATGGTTGGCCCTGCTCAGCTGGGAGGAGGAAGGAGGAGGAGGAGGAGGGAGGAGGAGGATGAGGAGGATGGAGGTGAAGAGAGGAGGATGAGGACGGAAGGGAGGAGGAGGAGGAGGGAGATGAGGAGGAGGAAGAGGAGGAGGAGGAGGAGGATGATGAGGAGGATGAAGAGGAGGATGGATGAGTAGGAGGAAGGAGGAGGAGGATAGTGAGGAGGAGGAGGAGGATGATGAGGAGGAGGAAGAGGAGGAGGATGAGGAGGAGGAGGAGGGGAGAGAAGAGGAGGAGGAGGAGGAGGAGGAGGAGGAGGAGGAGGAGGAGGAGGAGGAGGAGGAAGAGGAGGAGGATGAGGAGGAGGAGGAGGAGGATGATGAGGGAGGAGGGAAGAGAGGAGGAGGAGGAGGAGGAGGAGGAGGAGGAAGAGGAGGAGGAGGAGGAGGAAGAGAAAGAGGAGGAGGACGAGGAGGAGGAAGAGGAGGAGGAGGAGGAGGAGGAGGAGGAGGAGGAAGAGGAGGAGGAGGAGGAGGAGGAGGAGGAGGAGGAGGAGGAGCACAGCGTTGATGCTTTCCATCTCAGGCGCAGTCTTGTTGGACGTACTAAAGAGGTAAAAGCAGTTTTTGAATCTGATCCATTTGAAAAAAGGAGATTGTGCAAAGCTATATAGAATATTTTATCAACGATATGTAATGTTGATGTTGTTATTTTTTAGACACAAGTATCTGAGTCGTTATTGGACTTCGAAATATCGTGGTTACGGTGAGTTTGATTTCTCAATTCTTTGCTGGAATCAAAACACCTTATTTTGACTTGATGGTAGTTATGATATGTGTGCTAAATATTGTTTCTATTCCCATCAGCGACAAGAAGCAGGACTCAGCCAAGCTCTCCAAACAAGAAAGGACTACAGCAAAGGGTATGAGTGCTTCTTTCTCAAAACTTAAAGGTCACCTATCATGCTATCTTTAGGCAATAGCATAGGTCTCAGATATATACAAATATATAAAAAAACATGTCTATGAAGTGTTTTGCTCAAAATACCAAACAGATCACCCATTCTAGCCATGCCTCATATCCCTCTATTTCACTTCCTGTTTCAAAAGTGCTGATTTTACGTATAAAGCTTTAAATAGAATAAAAAAGATTAAAAAAAGAGGGGTGGAGCTTATGCCTGCTCATGCGGGAGATTCTACCGGCAGATGCTGCCGTGATGAAACGCCATGTCATGGATTATCAAGGATTATTTCTGAAACAGTATGGAGCTCAAAGGCTTTCTCTCTTGCCGGTTATACCACAAGGTGAGTTCCTTTTTATTTCCTGCTTCTTCACACTCATGCTCTCCAGTACAGGTTAGCTCTGAGTGTTAGCGATGCTAATGTGAACACCGACCATATTACGTCCAAAACAGTCGGGCATTGTTTCTGATAGCAATGTTTCTGATAGGGCTGTGGGTCCGATATGACGTCAAATCGCCGCAAATCTGGATCAGCTCCGTTGTAGCCCCGTTTTTAGAGATTTGGGTACGGAGGAAAAGAGAGGGTTTTTTATTCCCTGACACACCGGGGACACATCTTTATGTATGAAAGACATCAAAAAGTGCATTTTGCATGATAGGTCCCCTTTAAATATGAGTATTCTGATGAAGGCCTGAGGCTGAAAAGCATTGGCTTTAAATGTGTTATTCCTCATACCACTAGTGATGCTAGAGCACATGTGTCAAACTCAAGGCCCGGGGGCCAAATCAGGCCCTTGGTGGATTTAATTCCGGCCCGCCGGTATATTGCACGCACACCTTCACTCAAACCTGAGGATCTCCTCAGCTCAGAGCCTGACCCCAAACATTGATGAACTTGTGACACGTTTCCACTACAGCGCGGAGCACGGTTTAAGAGGGCTGTGACGTCAGCGGCCCGTCTTTGGTTGCGTTTCCACTTGGCCTAGTACCGGCCGGCGGGTCCTAATTCACAGTTTTTCTGGCCTCATAAAATCGCGGGTCTAGGGCCAGAGACAACGAGGCTGAGTCGGGCTGAGTATGCTAAACTAGAGAGAGCATCGCTGGCAAGGGGGCTACAACTACAACAAGATGGACATATTTGACCGTGATTTAATTGTAATACACGTTTCAAAATGATGATGAAGTAACAACATACTGATACCGGTTAGTAAAAACCATGAATTAATGCTTTGTCAAGTCTGCAGAGAGACGGCAGGGGAAAAACCTTTTAAAATGCGTGTTTTCTAAATGGAGATTGGCTAAGCTAACGCAGTATATGCTCCGACCGTCCACACTCACAACAACGGCCTATACAGACATAAATAAAGCAGCGACTGTATTCACCATGACACAGGCAGTCTGTGGTTTGTACTTGTTTAACTTTTGTCTAGTTTCTGAACAGATATGAGGAGCTGTGAGCTCTGAGTGCTAACAGCTAACGGCTGTGTTGTTTTTCTGGGGTTCTCTGAAGATCACGTCACGGCTCCGCCTACACTGCGTTACTATAGATACTACCCCAGTTCCTAAACTGTAATGGAAATGCGCCATAAAGTGAGCCAGTCCTAACGAGGCCCAGCCATACCGAGCGGGGCCGAGCGAGGCCGTGTAGTGGAAACGCGCCATTGCACCCAAGATGAGATGCCAAGTATCTGGCTTGAACTCATTTGCATCACAGAGCAGCACACTGAGTTTCAATGGATGTTTCCTTCTGCACTTTTTTTCTTGAGACAACAGGGCATGTTTGGTTTGTTCTTTGAGGGAAATTGTTTTTTTGAAGCTGTGGGAAAATGTAATCATAAGAAATGACTCTGGAAAAGCTGCAGATAGAGCCATAAGAAATGAATGCAACTGATTATTTAATGTTTAATGTTGTTTTTATAGGCAATCATTTAAGCTTTGTTAGTTCCAGGTTTAATATGTGCAATAATATACGCCTCAGGAGGCAAACATTTTGATTTGATTTATTAAATGTTGATAAAGAATCAAAACAGCTGCACTTTATTACTTGCAAGAAAGTTCAGTCAGAGAGCAGAGAGCAAAATGTCTGCAGAGTGAAAGATGCAGAGAAGAGTTTGCTCGAAGCAGTTTCCAAACCAGTTCTTTGACAAGTTTCAGTCTTACTCTCCGACTTGTTTATTGAGGACTTGTGTTTTCCTTCCATCAAAAAACGTTCTGAGATGTTTGATATTTAATGCTCCTTTGGTCTAGTCAAGTTTGACATAAGTGAGGTTAAATGATTCTGTGAAACAAAGGAGGAAATACTGTAGCCCCTCTGAGCAGGGGGCTCACGATGCTGCATCAACAACACTTGCAGCATCCTCTTAGTACACTTGACAGAGTTCTTCCACAGTCACAGAAGAAGTGATTGATAGTCTGGTAGTGTGCTTGAGTACATTTTTGACTTATTCTACACACTTTTTCTCCAGCCAAAGAAAAAGGACAAACTTGCAAACAAAGAAGAGACAGAAAAAAAGAAGGTAATTAGTTACATTTTTTATGAGACATTAAAGCCACTGGTTTAGTAACTTGTTCAACGCATGTTTGTTCAACTTTACTTATTAGGCTGTTGTTTCTTTTCTTTTTTTCATCTAGGCAAAAGAATCCAAGGATGTGGATGGAGAGGATTCTGACTCCAGTCTGGACGTAGGTAAATGGAAGAAATTCCTCCAGCAGATGACAGGTAGGGCGTGGGTCTGACAAAGGGCATTTTTGTGCAAGTGTGTGTAAAGGATAAGGATCAATCACAGTTTTCCAATCATCATTTCCGAGCGCTTTCAAATGAAGCTAATGGTAATATTCCCGGAGACACTCAAATAATTAAGATTAAGTCAGATACTCCAGAGATAAGAAACATATGTCTTTTTTACATTGAGAAAGAGATAGAATCAAAGGTGGAGAAAGTTAAGAGGGTTGGAAAATGCTGGACATTTTGGAAGATGGAAAACCATTTAGAGCCGAGTCCTCTCAATTAAAGAGAGAAGACAACCACAAGGTAGGACCACAACTCCAATGAATAACATCACCATGGGAAACAGTGATTTAATACAAACAGAGCTGTGCACAGAAGCTGTGTGGATACTGTTGTTTTCTTTTAAGCATTTGT